ACAACTAATTGCACACCTGACCCTGGCCTGTTTCCCGAACAGGAGGAGAAAACGCCAGCAACGACCGTATTAGCTCCAGGGACAGCCTGGAATACAGATGGCGCCTTGGGTAAAAATATCCTATCGGGGAGCCTGGGTGGCTCAGTCGTTAAGCCTCTGCTTTTGGCTGAGGTCATGAACCCAGGGTCCTGGGACCGAACCCCACATAAGGCTCCCTACTCGGCAAGAGGCCTGCTTCTCCCTCTCCCACTCCCCCTGCTTGTGTTCCCTCTCTCGCTGTGTCTCTGTCAAATGAATAAATAAAATCTTAAAAAAAAAAAATCCTGCCAACGTCAATTTACAAAGTGGACAGCGTTATGCAAGAGAATATCCCCATTCTTAAAAAAGTGTTTAGGGGGTTAAGGGCCAAGATATACATCCCTCACTCTCAGACGATTCAGGAGAAGCATTACGTATGCACAGAGAGAGTGTAAATGATAAAGCGAATGAAACAAGATATTAACAATCCACAAATGGTATGTGGCTATTCCTATTTTAATGCAGCATTTCTATTCCTAAAGTTTGTGAAGTCCAAAGTTGTTTCCAAATGGAAGGCTTAAAAGCTAAAATATTTATGGGGGCATCTGGGTGGCTCAGCCAGTTAAGTGTCCAACTCTTGGTCCCCGCACAGGTCTTGAGCTCAGCGTCCTGAGATTCATGCTGGGCACGGAGCCTGCTTCAGATTCTCTCTCCCCCTCTGCCCCCTCCCCACCCCCTCTAGCTCAATTAATTAATTAATTAAAAGCTAAAATATTTAGCGGCAGAACTGGTTATTTCAAACAAAATCCCACACTGAACCCCATGTGTAAAAAGGGACAGGCAGGGGTGTGGCCCTGCCTGTGCTGTGTCCCTTTAGTAGCCCAACGGGTACCCCGGGGAACCCAGCATGGAAACCACTGTGGTGGGGAGGCAGCTGTTCCTGGATCCTCACATGTTAGACACTCACACACTTTTCTGATTGCATCTGATCCTCGAAACAGCCCTGAGAGGCATGCTCAGGCTCATTTTGAGAGGACCAAGGTTGAGGAGATCAGTACCTCCTGAGACCTACACCGTTCTGATGTTTTCCATACCCTCCCCATGAGCCCATCTTCTCATCCCCATTTTACACACCCATGGAGGCCCCATGAGATTCACGTCCAAGGCTACAGCACCGAAGCTGAGCTTCAAGCCCAGGTCATGTGATGGAACCCCAAGACCCCTGCTCTCCTTGGCAGAAGCTGCTCCCTCCCAGATGAAGAAGCAGAGGCTCGAGTGGGGGCAGCCCCCACCTGCTGCTCATGGCAGCGGTGAAATGGGAAGCCCTTGGACTCATAGTCCAGTGCTCCCCCAGCAGTGGGAGGGGAACACACTGTTCCTTGATGAGAAACCCATCTGTTCCCCGTGGGAAATCTTCCCACTGAGCCCTGGCCCTGGCCTGAATTTCTGGGCTGAGAGAATCCAGCCTCCCTCCCTCCCATGAGGACAGGGAAACCTTGAGGCCCCTTGTTCATCTCTGTTCTTCCCTGGGCTTCGCTTGCGCAGTCTGCTCTAGCCAAGGCCTTGCTTTCCTTTCCTTTTCCCTCCAAATTAGCCATTCCCTCCCCCATTCCCTGCTCTCTGCTAAGTTTTCAGTAAATCAATTCACCATCAGCAAGAATGATGGTGTTTGAAGTCACAGCCAAGGGCCTGGGTGTTTAAAAGCACTGCAGGGGCCCCTGGGTGGCTCAGTCGGTTAAGCATCTGACTCTTGGCTTTGGTTCAGGGTCCTGGGATCAAACCCCGTTTCAGACTCAGGCACTCAGTGTGGAATCTGCTTGAGATTCTCTCTCCCTCTCCCTTTGCCGTGCCGCCACTCACACACACATTCTCTCTCTCTGTCTCTCTCTCTCTCAGATACATAAATAAATCTTTAAAACAATAAAAGAACAAAAGAATTGCAGGAAGCCCAACGCTTCTGAGTAAACTAGGACTCAATGAGAATGGAATTTTCCTTTTAGCCCCAAATTGTCTCCTTCATGATGCCTCAGGGTCGGTAGAGCCCTTCGCCCTGATTTTACCTTGAGACCCGGCACAGCCCCAGAGGAAAAAGATTCCCCTAATTAGAAGTTCAGACAGGGAAAGTAACTGTCCTGATTTAGTACCAGCTGCTGCATTAGGTGCAAATTTGCAATTAAATCTCACAACAGTGCTCCACCCTGCCAATAAGGTGGGTATGGCTGTGGCCATTTAAGGGGGAAACTGAGGCTCCACGCACCTAAGTAACCAGAATACAGTCACAGAGCTGGGAAGGAAGCCTGGATCTTTCACTGCACGACCCTCCAAGGTCCCAGGCCAGCCTGCTTGGTGTCTCTTTGAGGCTGCTTGCAGCAAAGGGTCCTTCGGGGCTCTGTCTCCTGTCTGGCTCGGTCTAGCTCTACTGCTGCCCCCCACCGCCCCCACCACACCGTGCAGGGCACCCTGAGCTCCCGCCACCCAGCTGCTGCAGATCTGGCTTGCTTCTCACTCTGAGGAGGTCTGGGAAGGTCCTGGCCAGGCCTCTGCCATGCCACGACCCGGTCTTAACCTTGAGCTTCCCACTGCTGCTGGGAGGCTCTCCCTGCACCACCCCAGGTCTCCATACCCCTGGGGATGAGAGTGTTGTGAGAGCCTGGGGTTCTGCAGGCTCTTGCTGCCCCTCATCTTACTTCCTTGGCGGTTTTAAAGGAATATACTTGGCGGTGGAGTTCACATGCTAGACGGCTCTCTGGGCTCCAGACCGCATAAGACCCAGCGTCTCAAAGCCTGACACCTGCCCCAGGATAATGAAATCTCCACTTCCCCATCCCGTCTCCACTACAAGGCTCTCTCTCCCAATCCATTTCCAACATTCTGCTAAATGGTGAATGAGAAGTTCTAACTTGACATGGGATCTGCTTTCAGGGAACAATTCTCCTTCTAAGATTGCGACTGGATGCAGGTCCGTGTAGCCCAAAAGGGTGACTCCCACTTGGAATTGTGGACTGTACCAGGTCTGTGAGGGAGCTTTCCTGGGGGAGGGAATTGCTCAATTCCCTCAATTGCTTTTTGCTGGCCTATGGCCAAACGGGCCTGCTCTTCTCCCAGGCAGATGGAGAGAATCCTAGCTTAAAACAGCCAGCATTGGCTGGGCCTACCATGTACTGTGCAATGAGGTAGACATTTTACATATGTTGCTTCTAATATTCAGAAGTGACTGAGTATGGCTTCTGAACCATTAGGGGTCTGAGTGTTCCCTTTGTAAAACAGCTTCTTTGGGTGAGGAAACTGGGCTTTAAGGGGTTAAGTAAATCATTCGAGGACACACAGATAGTAAGCTACAGATCAGGAATTGAAACCCAAGTCTGTGTGGCAACAGACGGCACAATCTTTCCACTCTCCATTACCACGGCTGTCATGTATAGTCACACAGGTTGCTCACTAAACAAGGGCATCCAGGTGAAGAGGTGATCAGGGCATGAAATCCAGCCACCATTCTGCTCACTAAGTTGTGCACTAAGATGTGCCCCATGGTGCTGTCGTGCCCATTCTTGTCTGCCTAGAGGAGCGCTGTGGTAAACTGATTATGAATGGTCCCAATAATTCCCTTCCCTACATCTGTGCCCCTTGCTATGTTAATTCACAGCTCTTCCCATCAAGCAAGGTTAGTTCCTTGTCCCTCGAATCTGGGCTGGTCTTGTGAGTAAACATACCAGCGAAATACATCTGAGTGGCATTGTGCCAGGAAGGCCTTGGACCCCAACAACAGCCATGGGTACAGGTCCAGGCTAACCTGCTGGAGAAAAAGAAATGTGTGGCCCCGTAACCCACATTCCTGGCCCATCAAGAGCCAAGCAACCACCCAACATTCGAGCAAGGCCCTCCTAGCCCAGCCAGCCTCCAAACAAGCCCCTCTGGCCATGGCCCCACGAGGCAGCCCAGACAAGGTCAGGCCCAGGCAAATTCAGTTGTAGACAAGGTCAGGTATGCTCCCCACCCCCCATCAGCATCACTGCCACACCTCCTGCTGAGCAATAAAAAATGTGAACTGATTGGAGTGGCCATTATACATTGATTTCTGTCCCTCTGAAATTCTTTTTTTTTTTTTTAAGATTTTATTTATTTATTTGAGAGAGAGACAGTGAGAGAGAGCATGACTGAGGAGAAGGTCAGAGGGAGAAGCAGACTCCCCATGAAGCTGGGAGCCCGATGTGGGACTCGATCCCGGGACTCCGGGATCATGACCTGAGCCGAAGGCAGTCGTCCAACCAACTGAGCCACCCAGGCGTCCCGGTCCCTCTGAAATTCTTAAGTTGAAGTCTGAACTCTTGGTTCCTGGGAATGTGACCTTATTTGGAAATAGGGTCACTGTGGATGTCATCAGTTAGGATGAGGTCATACTGGAGCAGGGAGGGGGGCCCCTCATCCAATATGCCTCATGGCCTCTAAAAATGGGAAGTTTGGACACACACACACACACACAAAGAGAACGCCACAGTGTTGCCACAAGCCAAGGAACTACCAGAATCTGGGAGAGAGGCCTAGAACACAGCCTCCCCTCGAGCCTTCAGAGGGAGCACGACCCTATGACACCTTGCTCTCCCACCCCCAGCCTCCAGAAGTGTGAGACGGTGTTGTTTCAGCCACCTGCTTTGTGACACTTGTTATAGTGGCCCAAATATACTCATAGAGAACTTTCTCCTAATCAACACAAACGAACGCAGTGTGCTTGGCCTCCTCGCTCTCCTCCCATGTGGAAGCTACTCATGGCTCTCCACCTGATCCCCAGGTAACCCCTAAGAGGTGCCCAGGTATTCCGCCCCACCATGCCCCGTCCTGCCCCAACAGGCCTCGGAACCTGGAAAGCGTTCTCTCGTGCCTTCCAAAGGCTCTGGAATCCTTGATGGGGAGGGGTCCCAGGCCCATACAGTATTGCTGTTCCTAGAGAGAGCCCCCAGCCCAGGCTCCTCTGGCTGCCTACCTACCTGGGTTGCCGAGGGCCATGGAGTCGTAGATGAGCTTACAGGTCTTAAGTAGGATGGAGATCTTCTTCTCGGGCGAGTAGGCCTTGTGCATGCTGGTGAACTTCTGCAGGATCTTCTCCATGACGGGCACCTCCGGCACGCTGGTTGTCACACCCAGGTCAGTGGTGGTGGTGGCCAGGATCACCAGCTGGTTCTCCTTGAGCTGCTGCAGCGAGCCATCCTTGCTGTGGATCTCACGCAGGCATGAGTTGATGGCTTCTTTCAAGGGCTTTAACACACACTTGTACAAGGCCGACTCCACAATCGCTTCTGTAGGGGGCGGTAAGAGCGGGAGGGTGAGGAACCCAGCCACCCGGCTTTGGTGCCCAACAGTGTGGCTGTCCCCATCTCCTGGTCCCTGGTAGGACAAACTCAGTACCCCAGCAGCTACCCCTCGAAGTTCTGACACAGGAGACCCTTGTAGTACATTCAGCAGAAAGCCACACTGCAAAGACAAGGGTACAGGTGCCCTCTGGGACTGAAACACTGTATCCTCATGCTTTTCACAGAGCCTGGAACTGATGAAACTCTCACAGGGCTCCCAACCAATGCATAACTTCAAAGGATGCTATTTACATGGGAGTTGTGCGGTACACAACCTGTGCAGTTGTATATGGAGGGCCCGGGGGCGGGGGCTAGGAAATGTTTTGTAGAATTATTCTTAATGTGTCTCTTTGAATTCTCAAATCCACTTGCCTCGAGGCTCAAGAATACAGTATAACCAGAATCTGACTTCCTACCATTTCCATGGCCACCACCTTAACCTGGGCTGCCATCCTCTTTTCCCTGAGTTATAGGAGTAGTCTCTTGCCCTGGCCCTTTTTCATTTATTCTCAGAACAACAACCAGCATAAGCCTGTTACGGCATGTTTGATTCTGACATTCCTGTGCTCAGAACTCTCCAATGGCTCTCACCTCATGCACAGTAGAAGCCAGAGTGTTCCCCGTGGCTTATAAAGAAACCTGGCCCCCCGCACCCGCTCCTCCCACCCGGGGCCTTGTAGTCTGTTCTCACTTATCACCTTGCCTGTGCCCCTGTGTTCATGCTGCTCCAGCCATCCTGGCCTCCCTGCTGCTCTGCTCCTGCCTCAGGGCCTTTGTGCTTGCTATGCCCTTTGCCTGGAGAAGTCACTCCACAGCTACATTTACATACAGGATCTCTTCCTTCGCTGTTTGAATGTCATCTAATCCAAGAGGCATCCTGATCCGCTAGCGGAACGGGATTTAGTTGGCTTTGATCTCATGGCAAGTCTGCAACATACACACCATTATCCCCACTCTATGGACATCCCAACTCAGGCTCTGATGGTGTGGGTCCCAGCTAGGTGGGGGCTGAACAAGAATTTGAACCCCGCCTGCCTGACACCATGGCGATACTTGTACCCTTGGGTTGACAGTAGGGAAATGTTCTTGGGAAGTCTTTTTGGCTCTATCCCATCCCCAGAGGAGGGCGCATGTCTTATCTATATAGGGAGACCTCTGAGCTGCCCTACTTCTGGGGGGTAAGGGAGGGGCCCATGCTCCCATGATTGAGTCTCAGTAGAGATCCTGGTAACGCTCTCTTGCCATGCAGGCTTGGGCTTGACCCATGTCCGCGTTTGGTGCTGGCTCCCCCGTCCCAGGTCCTCATTCTCCCCCCTTCTTCTTCCCCTTGGCTTCTCCAGCCTCTGCAACAGAGGACATGCAGCTGCCCTTGTCTGCTTCAGCCCACTCCTGCCCATCCTCCCTGGCCCACAGCGTGACCCCACTGGCCCTTGGAGCCTCGGAAGCTAGAGGTGTGGTGACCCGAAGGCAGGGACTCACGGTGAGCATCCCCCATGCCTGACTCCTGCGTTACCTTGACCAAGTCCTTTCCTGTGGCAGGGCCCATTTTTCTCATCTCTGAAGTGCAGGGGCAGGGGGTGGCTGTGGCCCGTGCCCTCTGGATGGAAGGGGGGGGCGGTGGTCTGAGAGCCCCAGGAGCTGCAGAGATGGCTGAGAGCCCTCTGCAGCTACACACAAGTAATACTTCTGCCTTGACTTGTTCCTTGTGCTTGTCTCCCCTAAGGAAATCAGTAGCCTCCTGGGCAGGAGGGGTGCGGCGGGGAGGCCACACCTGTACTTGAGTTTCTTCCACGGGCTCATGGGCCCAGGGGCAGAACTCGTCGGTAAGAAGCTGATCAGCAGAGGGGTCAGTTTGTAGAAGGTGGGGGGTGGGGGGACCATCCGGAATCATCCCTCCCCCACCCCCACCCCCCGGCCCGGGACTGACCTATCTCCTCCTCGGGGTGCAGGGCGGGGTCCACTAGGGCCCTGAGCTCGGTGCTCTGCAGCAGGTAACTCTTGAGCTGGGTCATCATGGTGCGGATCTCCTGCAGCATCTCGGTGCTGGAGGTCTGGCGCGCCATCATTTCCAGGCTGTACACCTTGTAGTCCTGGACCAGGCTGCCGAAGTACGACGTCTTGTCCTGCGCCAGCTCCACCACCTTCTTGTAGAGCTTGCGGTTGTTGGACAGGAACGCGTGGAAGACATTGGTGAAGCTCACCAGGCTCAGGCGGTGGCGTGCCTTGCCCAGGATCACCGACGGCTTCTTCTTCCCCCCGGAGCCACCGCCGAACGGCTCCAGCTCCTCCTCCGTGCTGCTGGTTGAGTAGGAGTCCTGGTCTGTGGCTGAGGCGGGCACTCCCAAGCTGTCTGACAGGGAGGCCAGGGAGCCCTTGAACTCGGCCACGCTCTGGGGCCGGGTGCCAGGAGTCCTGGCTTGGGAGGCAGGGCTCTGGCTTTCTCTGGGGGGACCCGGTGCAGGCTTCTCGGGGGCTTCCTCCTTCTCGGAGGACTCGGTGCTCTCCAAGGGGCTGGGAAGGCCTGAGGCCAGCTGCCGGGAGATCCGTTTCCTCCTGGGGGGCGGGATTGGGGGTTGTCGGATCTTTCTCGGAGGCTCTGGCATGCTGCCCGGATCACTGGTTTTGGCCGCTGCTTCCTGACCTTGCTCTGTGGTCCCCTGAGGCCTGTCCCCAGGACTGTCTGAGGTCCCCTGGGGAGGCGGGCCGAGTGGGGGTGACCTTGGAAGACCCAGCTGGTCCCCCTCTGCAGGCATCCCCCTGTCCACCTTCCCTGTGCTCTGGTCCTCCAGGGAGACCTTCTCAGAGATGCGGCGTCTGGGAGGAGCGGCAGGAAGGGTCTTCTTCACGGGTGCTGGAGGGGCAGGGGTCTGCTTTGAGGGGCCGGGGCCTGCCCCTGGCTTCATCTCTTCCTCCCTGAGCGGGCCCAAGCCTGTAGGGGGGCGTGAAAGCCTCTCGCAGGCTGCCATGGGTGGCTGGCTTGGGTGGTTGGGGGGTCCTGGGGCATGGGGTGCCAGATGGGGGGCGGATGCTGGGGGTGCGGGAGTAAAGGCCTCTGGAGGTGGGGGAGCAGTCACTGGGGGGGGACTGGGCAAAGGACAGGCCAGAACAGGAGTGGGAGGTGGAGGAGGCCGGAGGGGGCTGGAGGGTTGGAGCGGGGCTGCTGGGGGAGGGGGTGCTGGGCGGCGAGGGGCCCACTTGGAGGTGGGTGAGGTAGCAAAGGAGGTGGGAGGCAACGGGCGCAAGGGGCAGCTTCCAGGGGGTGGCTGGTCGGCAGGCAGGGCACTGCCCCCACAGTCCTCGATGAAAATCGGATTCACAAACCACAGGCGGTCATTTCCTATGGACAGCTCAATTTCACACGAGCAGTTGTCGTAATGGGCCGTGGACCTGAGGCTGGAGGCTGAGGGTGCTCCGGGGGCTGGGTCTCTTGGGGGCTCCGCGGGGCTCCCACCGCCTCGCCGGGGGTTTAGCGAGGAGTCCCAGAAGCCTGTAGAGACAAGAGAAGAAGAGGCCGATCAGTCCCAAAGCCAGGCCCCCCAATGCTGCCTGCTGGGGCGGGGTGGACGGTGGTGTTTGTGGGCGGGCTGGTCCCAGTGTTTGCTTCACTGCTCTGAGGGCTGTTTCCCCTCTTGAGCTGCTTTAAACCTCTCCCACCACTTCCTGCCTTGAGAGGGGAAGCCCCGTTTGATTGTCCCCAGGCTCTGCAGAGGTGGGGCTCTGTGGAGGTGGGGCTGGGACCTGGTGGTGATAGGCAGAGCTCCAGCTCTGCCCTTGGCACATGAGAGCCCACCAGGAGGGCACCGATGGCTTGGGGTGCGGGCACAGGTTGGGGGAACAGAAGGCAAGGGGTTCTGCAGCTGACCGGCTGGGCGCCCTGGGGCAGGTGACTTGACGTTTCCAGGGTTCCATCTCTGGCCATCTCTAAAATAGGGGTCCCATGGGGGAGGGGCTTTGGTCCCATTTTGGCCACTACGGTGGCTGTGTGTAGGAGGAACGAAGTATGCATTGTGGCCGGTGAGCTCAGACGTGACCATCCAAATGGGGAACACTGGCCCCGAGGCGAAATGCCTCGGACTATGAATCTCTATGTTAAAACAGGCAAACGTTCCATGCCCTCCGTGTGTGTGTATGCGTGTGTGTGGGGGGGAGGTCAGAAAGTGGGGGGTGGGGGGTTGCACTGCTGGCTCTCAGTTCCAGCACAGGCCTTTCTCCTGACCCATCCCTCATAGACGGCCCACGGCTACGGCCACTGACGCAGGCCTGTCCCTCCCCAGACGAGGTTGGTCAGCGCCAGGCATGTTCTGGGTAAGGGGCATGGGACATCCCAGCTGTGAGGGCACAGGCGGCTGGCTAGCTCCGGAATTCTTGAGTTCCTGACCTCTGGGTAACAAGTACTATCGAGGATCTAGCTCAGCATCTTCCAAAAAGGGTGCCAAGTTTTGCGAATCATTTCAGACAGTGTCTAGGCCCCCGTGGGCTCACTCCAGCAGATTCCCCTGGAGAGCGGTGGGGATGTCAGTCTCCTCAGCCTCTTAATTTTAGACACTGATATCGCAGAGTCCCTTGCTAACCATGAGGCCAGGCCTCTAGCCTCTCATCCCGAGCTCCTTACTTCTGGGAGGGATTTGTCACTAAGAAAACTGCCAAAAATAACGTCAGGAGCAAACAAGCATTGCATTCTGGCTGTGTGGGCAACTTGCTCTACATGGGTCATTTCATTGACCCCTGACCACAGGCCTTTGATGTAAGTCCTAATATTGTCCCCAGAACACATGAAGATTAGAGACCCAGACAGATTAAACAACCTGCCCAAGGTCACAGGTTGGTGAGTGGAGGAACCGGGATTTGAACCCAGTCAGACGAGATCTAAAGCCTGTGTGCTCAGCCCCTGGGGTTCTGTGTCTTCCTTCATAGGAACTTGCAACACTTCCCATCTGAGTTGCTCTCCCAGGGTCGGAGCTACAGTGCGGTGTGTGCCTCAGAACCGGGGATGTGGTAAGAACACCACAGGCTCTAGACGTTGAAAGAAAGGGAACATGATAAGATGGCGGATGGCAGCCATTGTGTGCCTGCCCTGAGACAGGCACGCCCAGGGAGGTGGGCCTTTGCCACCTGGTCGGCCAGGGGGTGGCAACTCCAGTCATGGGGAGCAAGGTACAATCCACGACAATGAGGCTGCTGGGACACTGACTGAAAGTGAGTGTGTGTACACCCCGCACCCCGGAACATGTGTCCCTCCCAGGGAGGAGAAAGGGGCTCCCTGTTCAGCCCTGGCCTGGGCAGAGACCTTGTGTGGGACAACCTGAGGCAGCTGGCCAGCTATTTCCATAATGACAGGGATGATAACTGTTCACAGAAACTGTTCCCCATTCACAAAGCTCTGCGTGCCTCACAGCCCCCGCCAGCGGATGTGGGGAGCCCGACATGTGAGGGGACCCTCGGACTCTCTCACGGCCAGAGCAAGCTGGTTTTCAGATGGTCTGGGCCCTGCATTTGCTCTCTGGGGCAGCTACTGACCTCTGCATGACTGATCCACTCTCCCGGGAGCTTCATGCTAAGCACACAGATGTTCTGGCCCCAAGGGCTGAGCACCGGAAGCCCCGTGTGCCCCGTCTACATGGCACCAGTACAAGTTGTCTCCTGGGAAGCGTTCCAGCAAGGAGAAGCCATTCCGACTCAAAGGTGAACTGGCAGCAGCCCCACGTGTGAGCCGAGGCCCCTGACGCTCCCCTCCAGGTTCTCTTAAGACCTTCCTTTGGGTAAAGATGAAGTCATGGGCAGATGATGAACGGAACTGTCTGCCTACACCTGGACATTCTCACTGCTCACTTAGACCCCGGCCTTAGCCTGCCCACACCTCCACCCAGTCTCCTTGTGACACGATGCTGCGCACAGAGCAGACCCTTGGTTGCTCTTTGTTCAGAACTGAATCACTGCCGACCTTTTAGCCCGGCGTTCAAGGCCCGTGGGATCTGACCTGCACATCTTTTCCAGCTTCACCTGCGGAGCAGTTACCCTACTCACTCCTTCCTGAACCTGTCACGGGGCTGTCCCACCTTAAGGTCTTGCAAATGCCGTTCCTTCTGCTTGGACTCCTTTTTCTACCCTCTCCACCTGGCAAACTCTTAACACCCCTTACCACCCAGGTCAGATGGAACCTGTTTGGTGGAGCCTTCCTGACCCGTCCAGACCTCCCGTATACTCCTCTGTGTCCCCCCCAACCCCAGCTCTGGGGCACACCCTGACCCATGTGACTAGCACCGGGACAGAAATTCTGGGGTTCTGTCTGCCTCCCTCCCACCGCCTCCAGGGTGTGAATATTGGCAGAACCGAGGCATTCCTGGCACAGAGCAGGAGCTCAGCTCACAGGAGTGCATGCGCTTTGCCAGAGTGGACAGGCAGGCGGGCTTCTGAGCAGGGGCACGTAGGCAAGGTTCATTTTGATGGTAACGTGGGACTAACCTGAACTAGGGGAGGATGGCTATAGGCAAGAAGAGATAAGAAAATAGGAGGAGGAGGGCGAAAAGAGGGCCGAGGAGCTCCGGCCGGCTCCACAGCCTGACTCAGCATAGCAAGGTACAGCCATCATGCACAGAAAAAAAAAAAAGAAAAAAAAAAAGAGCACATTTTCCACCACTTGCATGTGGACTCTGGCAGGATCAGCACAGACAAGGGGGCTCACAGCAATGGGCCCAGGGCCTGGGTGACTAGGAACTGCTTCCCCGCCCCTAAGATAAGCCTCGTGGTTACACTCTGCTAGGGCAGCTTCAAAGCCAATGCCACTCTGAGGGATGGGGGAAGCTGGGACCGAGAAACTGCATCCTAGGGTCTGGAGCCTGTCAGGGAACCATAGTGGCAGCCTTTATACTAGGAAAAAAAAAAAAAAAGGGAAGTAGGTAACTTTCTCTGCAGCCTGCAGAATGCCAAGGCCAGGGGAGAAGCGGAACCCAGTCATGCAATGCTAGTGATTGGCAAAGCAGAGTGGGCGGTGGTATTCGCGCGTACACCCAGGCCCATGGGCACCACGCCAAGCCTCAGCTCAGCTGCTGGAGATTCCCTGAGCAGCCGTGTCTTCCCTGCCTCTGTGCTGTCCCCGGACTGAGGGGGATGTGTCACCGGCCAGGCAGCGTCCAGCAACTCAGCTGGGGACGCCTCTTGCCAGGTGTCTGCTCCTACAATCCTCAGTGGGCCTGGGTCAGGCCAGGTACTGGGCCATTGGCTCTGAGGGCCAAGGTGATGAAGGCTTCATGCTTGGGGAGCCCCAAACTAGCAGCAGACAGAGAGGGGATGGGTAAATGCAGCAAAGTATTCCAGATACCATGGAAACAGCTTGAAAGTCCAACGAGTTCCGTGAATTCGTATTTTTGTGGCATCCCAAGGATGGGCAGTTGGACTCCTGAGGTGTCATTCACACTTGGGTTGTCGATGGGTGTTTAGTAACTAGGAGAACTCTCATTGTAGAATGTAAAGGAAAAAGCAAATTCCATGCAAACTGGGAAAAGCTTGGAAGAGAACAGGTGCTTTCCCCAAACATGTTTTTAAACATGCTAAGCGTATTTATACCTCCAACGGGTCTGAGACCCTCTGCAAATCTAACCCTTATTTACCATTGTTTTCTCTACGTTCCTCCAGCACTTAGAATCGACTGTAACTTCAGTCATTTCATGCTAGGTTGCTGCCTGTGTGAGTTCTGTGGCCCCAGGATGACGTTTCTACAGCCTGCTCTCCCCAACACTGGCCTGTCTAAGGCCAAACCTGGACGTTCTGAGGTCAGCTCATGGGCCATGAGCAACCCTTCTGGGTTATCACGTGGTGCTGACCCTGCAAAGATATAGCTCTGTTTCAGCAACATTATCCCTGCCCGAGCACCCAGGCTTTGCGATGATTTGGATATTTATTATTCATTACATTCTGCTCTTTTTGTAAAAAGTGGGGAGAATGCCAGAGTAAGCTGTAGACACTGCTGATAAGAGACACAGAGCCTCACAACTTACTCCAAGGGCAAGGTCAGCAGGTGGGGCGGGGCCAGCGTGAGCAGGGGCGGGGGGAGGAGGGGTGTTGGTGGAGGCCGAGGGGAACTGTGGCTGGCAGTTGGGGGAGGCAGGGGGGTGGGACCTTTTGCTCTGTTTCTTGGGAGATTCTCCAGTGCCCCTTCCCTAATCCCCTTTTAATCTATGCTGGTTCGAGTGGGTTTCAGTTCTTTATCAGGAGAACCCCTGGCGTACAACAATGAGAGATGCGCAATGCCTAGTGTGTGTGTGTGGTGGGGGGGAGGCTGGGCATATTTTCTTTGTCTTGCATATTTCATATCAGTGCTATAGGTGAAGGTCAGTCCAGGAACACCTGCCTGTTGTGTAATCCCTCCCAGTCTTTTTTCCTTTTTGCAATGCAAGTGCTGACTTAAGCTTTGATGGCTGAGGCCTGCATTTCAAAGGGGCACCCTTCAATACCTTCAATACCAACCTTCAATACCTTCAATACCAACAGGTAGCTAGTCACAAGACCAAACAGCCCTAAACATCCTGGCTGCCTTCCTCCCCGGAGGCTCCTCTGCGTTAGCGATCTTGGTTGATTTAGATAACCGACCCTTTGGGCCACTTGTTTTCTCTTCCAGCATACTAAATTCCCGTCCCCCGTGTTTTCAATTCAACTGAGTGAGTGTGCGAAACCCCAGATTCCCCCCGTCAGCCCCAATAAAAGCAGAACCCCAAGCCCACGTGAAGAGCGAGCAGAAGGCAACTGAGGGCAAAGCACAGGCTGACACCCCTGCTCCCCACCCACCCCACCCCTGCACTCCCAGGTGGGCTACGTGAGACTTTCCTCAGGCACTCCCAGCTGCCCTAAAGCTAAGGGAAGGGAAAACAAATGGTTCACGGATAGAGATCACAGTCCTGCAGGACGGAAGTCTCCCTTCGTTTACCAAGGTCTTAGATATTTACAAGGAAAATGCATTCCTATCAACAGCCTAACTTCCAGAGACCCATAGAATTTCCTGGAGCCCTAACCTCCCCCTCTCTTCCATGAGTGATGTGGGAACCTGAGGCAGAAGGGAACGGAAACAAAGTTAAATTTCTTTATGACCTGTAGCCCGCTGACAAGGGCCCGAGATAGGCAGAACGTGACATCCCTCCTGGGAGCTCCCACCTATCTTAATGTTAGTGCCTTACTAGAAGGAAAAACAACTTTAGCTTGATAACAGCTGGGCCCCCAGGATCCTAAGAGTCTTCCGCAGCATGTGAAAGTCCTTTGGGATGACTCCCTTTGTCCTTCCCTCCCCCAACTCCCAAGTATGTAATTGTTACTTCTCACATCCCTAGTGCGGCAGCCCTTATCGGCCCAAGGGTCCTGTCCCCGTGCTTTAATAAAACCACTTTTTTGCACCAAAGACATCTCAAGAATGCTTTCTTGGCCGTTGGCTCTGGACCTCACCCACGTTCCAAAACCATGCATGAGCACTCTCCCCATGACCTCACTGTGGGGCCCCAGGGGTGCTATGTAGTTTCCAGCTCATGCGAGCAATAAACCTTTATTTGTTCAGTCTCCCAATGGTTGTTGCAAACGTCGGGCATCTTGCAAACGTCCTAAGAACCCCGAGGACTGGTCCATCCACAACATCAGGCACTGATAGGCTGAGAGCAGCACACAACATGGCCTGAACCCCACGGCGTTCAAGGCCTCAGGCACACAGACCCCTCCTGTCAGAAGTAAACCTCCCCAGACCGAGCCCATACATCTCCCGCTCCCTGCTGACTTGGCCTCAAACCGGGCCCTGACTGCGGCAGAACAACGGAGAAGGTCATGAGGTATTGCCGAGGGCCAGCGGGGAGGCCCTACTCGGGGTCAGAAAGGCCCCGGCACACATCCCAGCTCTGTGCTTTCCCGCCTGGCCCACTCTGGACACACTTCTTCACGGTGCTCAGTGCTTTTGAATCTTGAAAATGGGGACACGAGGACGACACAAAGACAATGCCAAGCAAGTATGAAGCCCTGAAAGTGTCATTATGCCACTTCAGACCTGAGGGGAGAGGTCCCTGGGACTGCGCGGGTTACTGACCCGTCCCTCACCCCACATCTTGTTCACAGCCATGTTCCTGTCGCCCTTGCTTCTGGCAAGGGTGGGCCTGGAGCCAGGGCTGGGGTCGTGCTGGTGCCCAGCTCTGGTCAGCGGACGAAGGCCCGTGCGTTTGGCTCAGGCTTTCCCACAGCCTCGTCCTGGCAGAGGGGTCAGCCTGTGCTGACCGGCCCTGGCTCCCCCGGACCCCGCAAGGCTGTGCGTCAGACCTTATGGGCAGTTGTAAAAGGTGCCCTTTTGAAAACTGGGACACTCTTCGGGCTCCAGGGCCTTAGCAGCCTGGGGAGCGAGACGGGAGGTCCCACAGGAGCTGGGACTCAGCCCAAGGGGCTGCCCCTGTGCCCCTCTGGTCATTGCATCCTAAAGCCCTGCCCCTGCCTTGAACCTCGAAGGGGACTTACCCAGGCCCAGGTTGGAGATGGTCTCGAGGTCTGTGAAGCTGCTGGCTTCCAGGATGGCCTGGGGCAGCCTCAGCGTGAAAGGCAACAAGTCTCTGTGGAGACAGGAAAGGCCAGAGGTCATGTCGGGGAGAAGGACCCGTGTGTCCGTTCCCTGGCCCCCCCCGCTGGCTGCTGGGGCCTCTAGGCAGACCAGAAACTTCCCTGGGGCTGAGGGGCTGAGCCCTGTGGATGAGGAAGCAACCAGTCAGATGCAGTCCTGGGTCAGTCCTGAGGGACCCGCAGAAATGGGAGACTCTTCTCCCTGGTCGCTTGTTTTCCTGTATCGTGGGAAGCCCAGGTAGCTTCTCTAACGGTGCCCTTCTGGGTGGAGCCTGCCTGCTACCCACTGCTGCTCCACATGGAGATGGGCAGAGAGCACCCAGTCAGACTTCCCTAGTGAAGGCTACCAGTCAGCCCTTTGGGGCTCCTCAGGCCCCGACCCAGACTGCGCTCTCAGCACTCATTCCCACCTCAGGCCACCACTACCCCAATCTCTATCTTGGCAGGATGGTACCATTCAGTCCCGTGTTGCCTCAGTTTACCTGGGTGGCTGTCTGGCCTGCCAGCCGGGTTTCCAGTGGCTCCTGGGTCTCTGTGTATGTTGCCATGGGCAGCAGAGTCCCTCAGCTCCTCTGGGGTCCACCGCCCAGCCCCCAGGGCAGTCTCCCACACTCTCTCAGGCACCTCCTCTGTTGGTCAAGATGCTGCCGGGATGGCAGGGGGCCAGCGCCAACCCGGAACCGCCGCATCCAGGGCCTTCCAGGGCCTTCCTGGCCCCCACTCTGCCTCGCGCGCCAGCTCCTCCATTCTGCCCACCACTGCACACCCTTCCCTCGCACTCAGGGGCCTCCCAGCTGCCTCCCCAGAAGGCACGCTCATTTGCTTAGACTGCGTGAGCCTTGCTCATTCCCACCTCTCGGCGCATCCCAGGTGACGGCATCTACTTCCATTCCACAGAGCCTCTGAGGCTGCGCCACCATGGACCACCTCCTCCTCCGTGACCTGGTTATGTGCAAGGATTTCATCTGTCCCCACTCCCTGCCACAACAGCCAATGCACCCCTTCACCCAGGGGCCACCTCTTCTGATCCAAGGAGAAGTACCCACAGGAGGGGGTGTTTGCTGGGCAACTAGTAGGTGCCCAGGCACTGGACTGGGTGTTTGCAGGCCTTATGTCACATGACAGTATTACTATTTTTTCTTAAGATTTATTTATTTGTTTTACAGGGGGAGGGGCAGAGGCAGAGGGAGAAGCAGACTCCCCGCTGAGCAGGGAGCCCCCACACGGGGCTCGATCCCAGGACCCCAGGATCATGACCTGACCTGAAGTCAAGAGTCGGACGCTCAACTGACTGCACCCCCCAAGCACCCCCCAAGCACCCCAAGTACTGTATACTGATATACAGTAATCAGCTATCACTATAACAGAGCACCCTTATGGGTAGGTATTAATACCTTTGTATTACTTAATTTATTACAGATCAGAATCCCATGGGGGAGCTGCTAAAAATGCAGATTCCCAGAACTATGCACTTAGGTTCCCAGGGTTGGGTCTGGGGGTGGGCCAGGGATCCCTATTTTTCACCAGCTTTCACAAGGATCCTGATGGACACAGCCTGGGATGGGAATCAGAGGCCCCAAAAGCAAGGGCTATCGGTAACCCTAAAAATTAAGCACCTCTCCAGGTGTGTGCGTGTGTGTGCGCACATATGTGTGTGTGCGCCTGTGTGAGTGTGTGTGTGTGTGTCATACTTACAATCTCATATATATACAGACATATATTCTCACACATAGATTCCCATACATATATATTCTCATACTCAGGAGAATATGTATTCTCATTCTTGTATTTTCCTGACATCATGGACTATTAAGTCCATTAAAAAGCATTCATAAAAAGAGAAATTTAAAAAATGGAATAATGCTCCAATGGAATCTGAATGAATGTTCTAACATGTCCCCCCCACACGCTGGTGAGTCAACTGTATAACCTCTTGGGGTGGGACATGTCCTTCCCTAGAGGTCTCAGTTCTAGCCAGTGTCTTTCGACCAGTGTCTTTTTTGACCATGACTGCCAGTTAGAACCACATCTGGCATCATGAGGCAGTGTGTGTGCACACACGCTCTCTCACACACTCATACACAATCATGCATAACTAGAGCAAGAGTTTAACAAAACAAGACTTATTCCAACTTACACGAGACACATTCTCATATTTACCAGTCTAGTTTAATTTTTCGTTTAAAAGGAGAGCAGTCACGGGGCGCCTGGGTGACTCAGTCGGTTAGGTGTCCGACTCTTGGGTTTCGGCTCAGATCTGATCTCATGGGTCGTGAGATCAAGCCCCATGTTAGGCTCCATGCTCAGTGGGGAGTCTGCTTGGATAGTCTCTCCTCTGTCCCACCCCCCGCTTTTGTATCCTTGCTCTCGCTCCCTCTCAAATAAGTAAATAAAATCTTAAGAAAACAACAAAAAAGGACAGCCGTCATGATCCAACAGACAGATGTTATACCCCCTCTAGGGTCATAGGAGTGGGAGGTCGGTGGGTGGGGCTGAAAGTTCCAGTCCTCCAAACCCGGGGTCTCCCTGTCACCAGCCCCTCCTGAGGCCACCTAGCGGCCCTGCCTGGGTTAGCTCTTAGCACAAACTCAGGGAGCACTGAAGGGGGCTCATTAGGACCAACAAAACCCACCCTATCACTTGGGAAATCCCAAAGGGTTTTAGGAGCTTTGTGTCAGGAATGGGGACAAAGACCAAACCAGATAACTTCCGTGTTATACTCCACTCCCTCCTGGGCTGTTACCCAGCATTGAAAAATACCACATACCAATGATACTATCTAGTTTATGCCAGTTCTCTCTTCCCCTGAGGGCTCAGCAACCCTGCCCAGAGGCTAACGGCCCCCCAGTTCACAAGGCTACTGACTCCTGGGCGTGCTGAGAATTTGTCCTCACAATCCTTCAAAGGGGCTTAGTAGTGTTCCTGGTTTGTACGAAGTGTTCCAGAAATGACCAAGTGTGTTCATGCCTCTGTTGCTCTGGAAAGGAGCCCCAACATCTCCTTGGCTCCTCTGCTCCCTTACTCCTCTCTGCAGTGTCTGTCTCTACCCTGCTCAGTTCCTCCAACTGTTGCTGAGGCAGGGGCCTCCTCATAGTGCCTGTGTGGCTGCTGTGGCCCCGGACTGGTCTCCCCTCTCCCCTTGCCTCTAATTCCACCTCCTACCATAGCTCTGCAGCTCTGCTACAGTGCACACTGATGTCACCACAGCTCCTGGGCATGGCATTCAAGGTCTCCCCTCTCATCCCCACCATGTGTCTGGTTCTCCCCCCACAGCCACGCCCAAGCTTCCCACTGCCAAGTTTTTGCCTGTGCTGTTTCCATTACTTAGAATTCTCTTCCTGCCCTTCCTTGCCTGGCCTCTGATGTCTCCTCTTCTACAAGAAGGCCCAGACCCTCCCATTAATGGAAGGGGAGAACTGAAGGGGAGCAGCACACACACCCTCTCACCCCCAGACCTATACGGGGGTGGGGGGGAAGACGGGAAGAAGTACCTGGGGCTCAGGAGTCCAGACAAGCTTGGGTCAAATTGGCTGAGAACTCAGCTGTGCGACCCGAGCTAGAGACATCCCCAGCCTCAGTTTCCCTGTCTGTAAGAACACACGCCAGGCCCTCTGGCAAGCCCTTGCAGGGATCTTCAGGTTGGACCCCCAGCACAACCTGGGGGCAGGAGGCATCTGTCCCTGGAGTGGGTCTCCAGGTGAGAACACCTATCCCACAAGGCCGCAGTAGGGGTTAGAAAGGACTCTGTGGGCAGAGCGTAGACCAAGCCGACTCAGCAGCACAGACATCGAGTCAGTGGGAAATGGTCTGCAACGTCACTGCTGTCATCCCACCCGGACCCATAGATGCCTGTCACCGGCTCTGCCCGCCCGCCGCCCCCGCCCCCCACCCCCAGCGCAGCTTCAGTGTGGCCTGCTCCCGAGGGCTGGCACCTGTGGCCCTCAGTGGCTTGTCATGGCATGCTGGAGCCTCACGGCCGGTCCCACCAGGCCCACGGGGAGCCACAAATGCCTCCACTTTGGGGGCACAAAAGCCCAGCCCCATTGGCTTTTGGTAGATGACCCCGAGGTCTCGCCTATGCTCAGAGAAGCCTCTGGGGTCCTGCTGAGGCTGGGATGCCCCCTGCAATTGCGTCCTTGCTGGGCTTCTCTGCCTGCCCCATCCTGCTCCCCCTTCCTCCCCACTGTGCTCTCCTTGGGGGGGGGGCAAGTCCTCTCAACTCTTGCCCGTAAGAGCACCCCTCGGCTAAGCTATTACTGTGCCCCATCCCAGAGCTGCTGAATCAGTCTCGGGGTTGGGTGGGGGCAGGAGTCTGTATTTTTCACTGGCCCCCTGGGCGATATGGGAACCAGGCTGGTCTGGGAAGCCTCTCTAGTCCTCACACCAGACTACCCTCCAGCCTGGAGCATTCGGGGGAGCTCCCCGAAGCGGAACCTGTAGCTTCCTGCGTGTGGGGGGCGGGATGTTGTGGGCTGCGGGGCGTGGCGTGGCGGGGGGCGTGGCGGTGCAGGATCGGGGAGAAGCGAATTCCTCCAATGAGGGCTCTGGCGCTGTGTTGCTCCTCCTCTATCATCCCTTTGACAGGTGAGGCCACCACAGGCAGGATAGGCCAGGTGACAGCCAGGTGACAGTCTCCAGCTCCTAAACTGAGGTTCTTCCACGGCACCGCACCCCTGACACATGGCCTTGGCGCTGTCGCCAAATACAGCACGTTGACACCCAAACATATGGGCTCTGTGCCCTGTGATCTCCTTGTGGTTCCCAGAGCAGTGGAGGGCGGACAAACAGGTACCGGCTTCTCTGGAACACAGAGAGCCGCCGGAGGCCAGACGGTTGGGAGGTGACGGTGTGAGCTTGGTGACTAGGGCTCCAGATCTCCCCGGACAGACAAAATCACTGTCCCCCAGCGGAAATTGAACTAGGACACCTTCTGGCTGATGGGCAGTGTGCTGTGTCTTTATCCTCCCCTTCTCCAGCACCCCTCTAACGGGCATCAGCACCCCCATTTCACAGAAGAGGAAGTTGCGCCTCAGAGAGATGAGGTAATGAGCTCAAGCTGTGGGCTCGGGGATTATGTCATTGTTTATTTATTCATTCAAAGCACCTGACCTGTGCCCAGCACCATGCTGGGCATGCCCGTCTGAGATAAGAACCTCTCAGAACTGGAACAGGCCTGTCCGCCTGAGAGCTTGGCATGTCAAAGTACACCATGGCCCCAGGGGCCTCAGGGGCTTTGCCTGGCTCGCCCGGAGGAACATGCTAGGTCGTCTGAATTAGCATGAGAGGCACACAGTGGGGCGGTCGTAGCAAAGCTCACGGACCTTGGAGCTTTATGTACCTTGAATCTCCACCCTGCCTTTAACCAGCTGCACCACCTGAGCAAGTTCCTTCTCTCGGTCTCAGCTTTCTTATCTGTGAAATGGGAACTGTCTGCCAGATTTATGAAGGTAATGGACAGCGCAGCACTGCATACCCGAGAGCTCCCGACAGGTGGCCATGGCTGACAGCCACCATTGCCAGCATCACCCTTCCTGCCCGCTGGAGCCCAGGAGCGGCCCGCTAGGCTGGAGGGCTCTTCTGGGATGAGCACAGTTTTCACGGAGCGGCAGCAAGGATGGGTCTCTCCGCAGCACAGAGATGTGGGCCTAGAGCCCCGAACCCCGAGATACTTTGTCCTGCCCTCCTTGGCAAGGCCCTGCAGCTTAAGCCATGACAGTGCAAAGATGTACTTTTACGTTCCTGTTGACCTGAAACCAGTTCTGAGTAAACAGAGCAGCTCTGAGGGTGGCGACCAGGCACCCACCCCACCCAGCAGTGACTTCAGAATCACAGGCTCTGTCCCACTGAAGGGTATCTGCCCTTCCTGTTGTCCCCACAGGAAGTGCCATCTGCCACCCCTGCAACAGGGTGGGTTAGGTCAGCACGGGGCTCCAGGGCGTCCTGGAAGCTGGGGTGAGGGGCAGTGAGCCAGGGGGAAGGGGGTGATGGGGGTTGGGTCCTGCGAGGCCAGCCCAAGGGAGCCTCAGAGCCCACTCCACCCCTCATGGTTACCAGGGCAAAGCCAGGGACTGTCCCCTCTCTCTGCACCCTCTGGGCTGCACCTTTCCTTCTGGGGGCCTCCCCGGGACCCTCGCCCCCACCCCACGGTGCAGGGACGTCTGTTGCACCCTGATGCCCCTCCGTGGGTCAGGCATACTCACCTACTGACACAGTAGAATGCGATCAGTCTGAAGATGTCCTCAAACACAAGAACCGAGCCTTCCAAGTACAATACTGTGGAGAGATGACAAAAGCCTTGGGTGAATGTTCCTGCCAGAGAGGAGGCTCTCTGAGGGTCGGGGGCCATGACTGCCATCTTCACGGTGGGTCCCGGCACCTGCTACAGGGCCTGGCATCTGCAGCTTCATACATATCGGCTGCCAATCTGACCACGGGGGAGTGGGAACCAACCTTCTATGGTGTTATTCCACTGAGATTTCGGGGGATTATTACAGCAGTTGGTGTTGTCTTTAATCTACAGTCATCATTTGGGGGCAAAACGACACAGACAACTCTAGATTGTACGAGCCAGAATCAAACATCTAATGGATCAGGGTTGTCTCGGCCTGACAAGGAGCTACAAGGCACCAGCAGGAGGCAAGTTGCCCAGATCAGTCTTGGCCTCCAGGAGATACAGCAATGCCAGCCCAGGGCCACTGGCCCTTCTCCCAAGAATGCTTGGGCCTATGAGAACCTTCCTTGATTTGGCTGCATGGGTAACCCAAGAGTGAGGGTGACCCCGATACTTTCCAGCTCTGACAACAAAGAGGGACCAATGCATTTGGCCAAGATCCCATCCCATGGTGGATATGGCTTGTCGGAGGGGCAGGCAGGGTGCTGGACTATGCCTGAAAGGGGAACATGGTGCCACTCTCTGCTCGGGACTCTCAGGGCAAGGGGCCCAGAGAAGCTACGTGAGTTGGTTGAGGTCCACTGCCCATCTTGGCTGCCAACCACCCTCACAATGCCTGTCACCCCAGGATGCCATATGCCCAACAGGGGATGCCCACAGTGAACAGTCTTTGGCATCAGAAGCACCGAAAAACTGAGTGTGTCACATTTCAGTTCTAGTTTCTTCAGGTTCTTTTCGCATCCATGCAGTAGAAGGAAAGGTGGGACCTGGGTCCCAAGCCTGGCTCCAACCAGGAGCAAAAGGAGGTGCAAAAGGAGCTGCAAAAGGAGGAAGCCTTTCCCACCCTAAACACACCCGCATCTCGCTGACAGCAAGCTGTCCTGTTTTCGGAGCCCAGGACAGTGTTTTGCTGCATTGGTGCTCTGCGAGAGGGGCACACACGAACTGCAATGTTTTGTTCCAACAGCTTTATTTTTATATTTGCCTTCTTTCAACATACTAGACACTGTGCTCAACAGTTAACATGATTTTTTTTAAAGAAGTTCACATTCATCATCTATTTATGGCAAAGAAATAATGGCTTCCCATTAGGATAGCTATAAACACTTCAAAAGGGAGTTTAAAGAAAAATGCTAAGTAGATTATAGGACCCGTGGTACTGGAAAAGTCAGAAATGTCAGTCCAAGGAATGACCGACCATTCTCTGTGAATAGCAGTGGGGCAGTCCACAGCGCCACCTAGTGCTGGCATTTGGTACATCGCTGACTTTCTCAAGAAGCGAGGGACCAGGGAGCCTGGGGCCAAAATGACATCCTGTAGCCTCAAGAGGTAGGGAGAGCTATAAAGTGGGATCTCTGACGGCAGGGTTAGTAGTGACGCCCGCAGGAAGCCAAGACTAGCACACTGGGAGGGCAGGCTCAGTAGTAGCTTTAAGATAAAGTCAGCCACGCCCCCTTCTGTGCCTCCAAGTCCTTTCTGTGAAGCCATACTTCTCTTAGCCTCAGTTTACCAACCGTCTCCTTGCTGGGCAGCAGCTGGGGTGCAGGCACCAGAGCTCATTCCTTTTTGGGCCCAGGACCCAGCACAGGTGTATACATAGTGGCCCAGTCAACTTTGTGCTGTTAAACTTGCGGATCTATAAAATTGTGAGCCACAGTGAAAGCTCTTGGTTTCTATTTAACTTGACCTCTTCTGCCCCAGCCCCGGGTACCCTCCACATCTCCCACGCTATCCATACACAGATAGTGGCAACAGCTTCCCATCACCCCACAGACCAGCTGGGGGAGCTCGCGCTTGCCAGGGCCAGGGTGTGACCCAAATCTGAGTCTCCCCCAGGACCCAGCACAACGTGTGGGGTGCAGTTTGGGAGAACAATACATGTTTATTAAATAGCCATCTGGGAGGGAGACACCAGAGGGCAGAGGCCTGGGGGCACTTGGGTGGGGACCTTAGGCCTCCTACTGCATAGATCGTCAGCCTTCCCCTGCAGGAGTCCATAGGGACCGCTCAGACTTGGGGGAACCCTCACAGACAGCCTTCCACCATTCTGGAGCCTGGGCTAATGCACATCGGTAGGGGACAATCCTTTGTCCCCGTGAGTGATGGGCGGGCTGTGCTCCCAGGACTGCCCTGGGTTCTGTGCAGTTCTGGCCTGGTGGCTTGCCTGGGCCCAGTGGCCCGAGTGTGAGCATGCCTCCGTCGTCTTGTTATCTATCCTCTCTGTGCCTTCGTTTCTTCAGCTGTAAAATAGGGATAATAAAGTAGCCCCCTATTACAGGTTGAACTGCATTCTCCCCAAAAGATACGATGAAGTCCTAACGCCTGGTACGTGTGAATATGACCTTATTTGGAAACAGGATCTTTGCAGAAGTCACCCAGTGAACGTGTGGTCAGACTGGATTGGGGTGAGCCCTACATTCCATGAATGGTGTCCTTATAAAAACATGAAGACATGGGAGACACACACACACACACACACACACACACAGGGGAAGCCATGTAAGGACACAGGCAGACTGGAGTGAGGCCTCTGTAGGCCTAGCAACACCAGAGTGCTAGTTGTCACCAGCAGCTGGGAGAGAGGGGTGGAACGGATCCTCCCTGATCTGCAGACAGAACCCATCCCTCGCCACACCTAGATTCCAGATTTCTGGCCTCTACAATTGCAAGAATCAGTGAGTTGCTTTAGGCCACCCAGCCTGCGTGACTTTGTCACAGCAGCCCTGGGAAACTCATGTGCCCGCTCATAAGCAAAACCCATCCACCAGAGCTTCCAGAAGGGTTCACAGCAGTCAGCCAGCGAGGGTACAGGATTACTAAACCCTAACTTTAAACAAGCAAGCCGAGGGATGCCTGGGTGGCTCAGTCAGTGAAGTGTCTGCTTTTGCCTCAGGTCATGATCCCAAGGCGTGGGATCGAGCCCTGAGTCAGGCTCCTTACTCAGTGGGGTACCTGCTTCTCCCTCTCCCTGTGCCTGCAGCTCCCCCAGCTTGTGCTCTCTCTCTCTCTGACAAATAAATAAATAAAATCTTAAAACAAACAAACAAACAGTAAGCTAGTCATGGTGTGAGGTAGGGCTGGAGGTGGAAGGATTTTTGTGGCTTTGCTTGACATTATTTTCTACGGCTCCTCAGTAGAAAACTTGTCCCTTGGTGGAGGTGAGAGGAGGGTGGGAGGGGAGGGGGGGAGGGGATTTTCCTCACTTGGTCCCATCAACACAGTCCACATTCCACCCTCCAGGTGCTCGCTCATGCTCTTTCCCTGTGGACGAGGATCCCTCTTAACACAATTTAGCTTTTTAACTGCCTTATGGGTACAACTCATAGCATTAAGTACAAATGTTCTCGGACCTATGGTGAGGGATAGACCACTATGAAGGCACCAAAACCCTTCGGACAGAGCACCCTAAGTGGGTGAATTGTAGGATATTGAATATATTAATAAATAACTCTCAGTAAAGCCATTATTAAAAAAAAAAAAAAAACCCATACACCAAGAGTAGACTGAATTTCATTGCCTGTAGTATGTTTTTCTGGGATTTTTTTATAATGGGCATCTATGATTTCAGTAGGCAAAGAAACTGTCAAGTGTCTCTACATTTTTCTCTAATCTTCTAAAATTCTCTGTAAATTTTTCTCTAAAGCTGATTGGTTGCCAGTGTCCTCTCAGCTGAGGCCACTTCAGAGGCCACTCACAGCCCTGCTAGGCACAGCCTACAAGGCCTCCATGGCCCCCAACACTGAGGGGACCACGCTGTCTGCGAAGCCAGAAGAGCCTCTTCAGAAAGAGCCTCAGGAATGCCTGGTGGGCGCTCTGCCCTTGGCTGCCGCCCAAGGGAGCTGTGGCCGGAGCCCAGCTAGGGAACCCCCCCAACAAAGATGCTGGTTCCAACCGGTCATCTTGGACAAGCGCCAGCAGCGAGCTCCCCGCTGGATGGTCTCTGGGGTCCTCAGCTGCAGCCTCGGTGGGCACATGCCAGGCCCTGTCTAATGCATTTCTCACTCAAAATGTAAGACAGGAGAAGGGGTCCCCATCGGTCACACCTGGCCCAGAGGTGACAACAGGTGACGATGACAAGACATCGCTTCTGCTTCAGGAAAAGGAAATCTTTTACCTGAGGACTCACCACCAATGCTGAAACGGGACAGCATAGAGATGCCACATCCTTGCACACCGGCTGGCTGCTACCATTTACAGCCTCAATGTCAAGATGAAATAGTCACAAAGACCAGAAAACTAGTAGATCTTTTTTTCTTTCTTTCTTTCTTTAAAGAAATTTCGTTCAATTGACATTGGCTTTTTCCACTTAGCATAATTTCCTCCAGGGTCCTCCAAGTTGCTGAGTGAACCAACAGCCTGTTCCTTTTCACTGCTGAGGACTATTTTTCCGGCCGGATAGGCCAGTTTGCTTGGCCATTCACCCAGTTTCCAGTTTTTAGTTATTTTTTTTAAGATTTTATTTATTTATTTGACAGAGAGAGAGCAAGCATGTGAGTGTGCTTGAGTGTGGGCACAAGGAGAGGGAGAAGCAGACTCCCGCTGAGCAGGGAGCCCGACTGAATTCCAGGAACCCCAGATCATGACCTGAGCTGAGGGCAGGTGCACAGAGCCACGAGGAGCTTATTATGCGCAAAGCTGCTGTGGACGTTTGTGTACAAGTTTCTATGTGAATGTACATCTTCCCTTCTCTAGGTTTCCCAAGAGAACAATCACTGGGAATATGGTAAAGTCTAACATCATGTTTCAAAGGAACTGCCAAACCATTTTCCTGAGTGTCTGTACCCCCCAGCAATGTGGGAGGGACCCAGTTTCTCCTCATGCTTGCCAGCGTGGCGTTTATGTCATTTTTTATTTTAGCCATTCTGATCAGTGTAGAATGAGA